AAGGTCCTCATCGCTGATGTCCAAGTCGAATCGGGGAATTAGGCCACCTCTCTATCAAAATCTCGAAACCCCAGAACCAGAAACCATTAGCTATGTGCATTGTCATATAACATCTGAATTCGCTGATTGTTGGGATTAGGCCTAGCGCCCACTTCGGGCCACATATAACAGGCCTAACTATGCACACGCAGGTCCAAGAGGAGGAGACATACCTACGTGGGCAGCACCACGTGGGCCAATGGGTTACTTACATGTGTTGGTGCATGTCAGTTTTTGGGGCTATAAATACCCCCCAACTACCAACAATGGAGGTAATTAATCTCTACGCTTCTTTCTCTGCAATTACTCCTTGAGAGCCTCTCTCTCTAGAATATTGAGTATTGTTGACTTGAGCGTCGGAGTGTTTTCCCCGAGGAAACATCCTCGGGATTTATAGGTGTGGAAGCAGCTGAGGACTTCGACAGTGTTGGATTGTGAAGCTGCCCAAACATTTGGTGTCGTCTGTGGGAAATTGAACGAGAAGGTGTGTAGCTTAACCTGCTGAAAGACAAAATGGTTCGTACTTTTACAGGGGGTCGTCCCCCAAGAAATGAAATGGACGAACAGGAGGACGCCCAAATATCCGAGCCTGGCTTGAATGACTTTAGGCCAATGCCAAGAAACCTTTTCGTCGGGGGAGCAGAACAGGATCACCTAAGTGAAACGGATGATGATGAAAGAACACCAACTGGATATGCAACCCAGCCTGAACAGTTCCAAGTTCCAACAGGAACAAGACAAAGACCTTCCAGACCATACAATTCACAGCATGAACGACCTGAAAGGTCAACAGAGCCTGCTCGGACGACCGAGCTCGAAGAGAGAACTAGAATTCTCGAAATGGCAATGGGTAAAATCCTTGCCCGCCTGATCCCTAATGACCCCCTAATTCCATTCTTGAACAGGGATGCACAACCAACTGCAGTTGTTGCAACTCGAAACTCCCCTGCTCTAAGCAACATAGTGGTGCCGACCAGACCGAGGGGAAGCGGGAAGCTAAATAACGAGCCCAACTCGTCCGAACATAGTGAAGAACTGATGAGGAAAAATTCAAACCTGGAAAAGCAGCTAAGGGACGTATAGAAATCTATTGACGAGCTGAAAAGTCCCAGGTCGCACCAACAGACTATTGATTTGGATAGTGCTCCTTTAAACCTATCCATCACAGCAGAGTCGTACCAAGAAGGATTCAAAATTCCCCACCTAGAGACATATGATGGCTCGAGCGACCCTAATGAACATCTGCATACTTATCAAGCCATCATGAGAATCCAAAATGCTAATGATGCCATGATGTGCAAAGTGTTCCCAGCAACACTTAAGTCGACAGCCAGGAGATGGTATCACAAACTCCCCCGACATTCCATAGACTCATATTCCTAGCTCGCCAAGCTATTCTCCAACAAATTTGCGAGCCAAAGGGAAATTAAACGTACAGCGACCGAACTAATGCAGGTTCATTAGAAAGAGGGAGAATCTTTAAGGGACTACATGCAACGATTCAACAAAGCTACTTTGGACATTAATAATGTCCCCGATACCATTTGCTTGTCTGCCTTGTTGCATGGTTTGAAGCCTGGCCGGTTTTTGGACGACCTGCTGGAAAATCCACCCAAGTCGTGGAATGAAGTAAATGACAGGTCGGCAAGCTTCATATTATCCGAAAATTTTCAATCTTCTAAGAGACTGGCTGATGACAAGCAAGGAAAAGAGCCCAGGCAGCCTGAAAACAGGGATGACAAGAAGAAACAGAAGGTCGGCAAGCAGAGAGGAAAACCACCTTCCTATCCAAAATATGATAGCTACATCCCCCTGAGCTCGTCACGTTCCCAGATATTGGCACAGATACAGCACTGGGTCAAGAGACCCTCTCCACAAACGCATGATTCTTCAAGAGCTAACAGAAGCAAATACTGCGACTATCACCGTGTCTACGGCCATAACACAGAAGACTGTTAGAGTCTGAAGGACGAGCTCGAATTCTTGGCTCGCAATGGAAAATTGGAGGGGTATGTGCAGAAGCCTTTTGTTCGGCAACCCACCCAGACCCATTTTGTACAAGAGTACGGTTGATCTCAAGCACCTGGATATCAGCTCAGTAGCAATCAAAATTCTTACCAGGCAGGTCCGTACTCATTTGAGCCGAACAGAGAATACAGGGGACACCCGTTCAATAGGCGTGGACAAGGACATAAAGCACATGCACAGAACCAAAAGGACCACAGAGCGGTTGGGTATGGTGGAATACCCCTGCCATCCGGCACAATCAATATGATCTCCGGTGGTATGCATGCAGGAGGTCAAAGCGCCCGAGGTCGCAAGGCATACGCTCGCCAGGTGATGACAGTAAATAAGAACCGGCCTCTTAAGCGCCCGTTTGAAGAGGCAGAGTGGGAGAATGTGACCATTACGTTTAGTCCGACAGATTACCAGCGAGCAGAAGGGGAGCCTGACGTCGTGATGCCTCATGCAGACCCTTTTGTAGCAACAGTCCATATAGGCAATCATAATGTCAATAAGGTTTTCATTGACACGGGTAGCTCCCCCGATATCTTGTATTGGAGCTGCTTCCAAAAGATGCAGCTGAACCCCAGCTCGTTACAAAAATATGAAGGGCCTATCTATGGGTTTGATAATCAACCCGTCCTAGTGGAGGGAGTAATTACACTTCCCATTTATGTGGGTTCAGAACCACGCTTCAGGATGGCTTTAGTCAGCTTCTTGGTCATCAAAATGGAGTCAGCCTTCAATGCCATATTAGGAAGGGCTACTCTGTGCGAGCTGAAGGCTATTATCTCACAACCCCATCTCTGCATGAAATTCCCAACACCTCAAGGGGTAGGAGTGCTAAAGGGGAGTCAAAGGATGGCTAGGGCATGTTATCAAGATACATTTAAGAAGGTTGAGCTCGCTGTAGCCCTGAGAGGCTCTGAAAGTAGCAGGCCGAGTAAGCTTGGCCAACAGACAATGAGCATATCGGACATTGAGCACAGACCTGAGGGTGTCGAGCAGAAAGTAGAGCCGGTAGAGCCAGTAGAAACCGTTCCTTTAAACCCTGATGTGCCGGAAAGAACAATCAAGATCAACACCAAGCTCACAGAAGAAGAACGAGCAGAGCTTCTGGAGTTTTTTAGGGTCAATCAAGATGTGTTTGCGTGGACTACGGATGAAATGCGTGGCATCCCTGTAGAATTGACAGTCGACAAACTCAACACGGACCCCACTAAAAGGCCGATGGTGCAGAAACGTCGCCTTTTTGGCCCGGAGAAGCAGACTACTATAGATGAAGAAATACAGAAGCTACTACAAGCAGGCTTCATCAAGAGAGTGGAATACTCTAAGTGGGTATCCAACCCGGTGCTCGTTAAAAAACCAAATGGCAAGTGGAGGATGCGTATTGACTTCACCAACTTAAATGAGGCATGTCCAAAAGACCCTCATCCCTTGCCTAATGTGGAGAAGCTAGTAGAATGGGCAGCCGGGCATGAGCGGATGAGTTTCCTTGATGCTAGCTCAGGGTATCACCGGGTTCAGTTATTACTAGATGACCAGGAGAAAACATCTTTCAATGCCGGTGACGCAATCTACTGCTATGTCATGATGCCGTTTGGCTTGAAAAATGCTGGCGCTACATATTAGAAGCTGGTGCAAATCATCTTCAAGCTGTAGATCGGCAGGAACATAGAAGTATATGTGGATGACATGATAGTCACCAGTGTACGAGCTGAGAATCATATAGACGACCTGAGTGAGACCTTTCAAAACTTGCGCCGAGCCCAAATGAAGCTGAATCCCCTAAAGTGCACGTTCGCTTAGAATCAGGAAAATTCCTAGGGTACGTGGTATCCAAGAAAGGAATTGAAGTGAACCCAGAGAAGGTTCTGGCCATTCAGCAGATGGAGCCTCCCAAGACTGTAAAGGATGTGCAGTGCCTGACAAGTCGTGTAGCCGTGTTGCACAGATTCGTAGCCAGGTCGGCGGAAAGGTGCCTACCATTTTTCAAAGCCTTACGAGAGCCCAAGCATTTTCAATGGACCGACGAGTGTCAGCGGGCGTTTGACGAGCTCAAGCAGTACCTGGCATCTGCACCCCTGCTGTCTAAGCCGGTGGAAAGAGAGTTTATATCTATACATGGGGATTATGGAAAAGGTAGTGAGCTCAGTCTTGCTCAGGGAAGAGAATAAGAATCAGAAGCCTATCTGTTACGTGAGCAAGGTTTTACAAGGTGCAGAGCAAAACTATCCATTAGCAGAAAAGGCTGCCTTTGCCCTGGTTTACACAGTTCGTAAGTTGAGGGCTTATTTCCAATCACATTAGATTGTTGCCTATACCAATTTGCCATTGAGGAAAATACTGTAGAAACCTAAACTCTCTAGTCAGCTTATTGGATGGAGCGTCGAGCTGAGTGAATATGACCTCAAATTTCAGCCGCGCACAACCATAGAAGGCCAGGCCATTGCAGACTTTCTGGTGAAGTGCATCTCAACGATTAAGGAAGAAAAAGCACCCGAACATCCAGTCTGGGTTTTGTATGTTGATAGAGCTGCTAGCGTTGAAGGATCCGGTGCTGGGGCTGTATTAGTGGGCCCAGATGGCTTTAAGTTTGAGCACGCACTGAGGTTTAAGTTTCAGATGACTAACAATGCTATAGAATATGAAGCCCTCATTTACGGATTGAAGTTGGCTTCCAAGCTAAAGGTACAGAGCATTCAGGTTTTCAGCGATTCTCAGCACGTTGTGGGCCAGGTGAATGGCAGTTGTGAAATCAGGGATCCCCAGCTCGGTCGTTATGCCTCTGTGGTCAACAGATTGAAGTCAATGTTTGTCTTTTTCCAAATTAATAAAATACCAAGAGCAGATAACCACCGAGCTGATGAGCTGTCAAAGTTGGCCTCCTCGCAGGACCTTAACCCTCAGAGATCGACGATTGTCGAGGTGCTTGACGCCCCGAGCTACACCGATCTCACCATCGAGTGCCAGTTGCTAAGCACAGATCCCTCCTCACCAAGCTGGACTACCCCGCTCATGAATTATCTGCGAAATGGTGAGCTGCCTGAAGATTCATTCGCTGCAAAGTTGGTGAGATGCAGGGCGGCGCATTTCACTTTGATAGATAATCAGCTTTACAAACGAGCAGCCTCAATGCCCCTATTACGCTGCCTTACTCCTTATGAAGTCAAATACGCCGTGAGGGAAATTCATGAAGGAGTATGTGGCACACACATAGGAGGCAAGACTTTAACTCGGAAACTCCTTAAGCAGGGGTATTACTGGCTAACTATGGTTGAAGACGCGCAGAATTATGTCAAGAAGTGCCCGACCTGCCAATTCAACGTTGATGATATACATATGCCAGGTATCTGAGCTCGTTCTGAAGTTCGTGCAAACTCCATGTTTGTCTATTAATTGAGCATAAAATTCTTCGTTGAAACAGGAGAAACGCTCTCACCACTCTCATCTCCCTGGCCTTTTGCTCAATGGGGAGTCGACCTGCTCGGCCCTTTTGTGAAAGGTAAAGAAGGTTGCACTTACCTCATTGTCGCGGTGGATTACTTCCCCAAATGGATAAAAGCTAAGCCACTGTCCACGACGACAGAGAAAAAGATAGAAGAATTCTTGTTTAACTCAATATTATGCAGGTATTCTTCGGTGACTTAAGCTATTGGCACGTTATATATAAGTACAATTTGCGGCTCAGCTCGATCATCTGTTTTCAAGTTTGGCATACCTAAACGGATCATTGCTGACAATGGTCCGCAGTTCCGAGCCGACGCATTGAGGTCGTTTTGCAGCGACTACAGCATTGAGCTCTCCTTGACGTCTGTGTATACTCCACAGTCAAACGGACAGGCCGAGTCCGCCAATAAGATCGTCTTGCGAGGCCTCAAGACGCGTGTCTTAGCTGCGTGTTCTAATTGGGTTGACAAGCTCAATAGAGTGCTTTGGTCTTGTCGCACTACACCCAGCTCGGCCACAGGCGAAACCCCATTCAGCCTTGCTTATGGAGTTGAGGCCGTCATCCCAGTGGAGATCGGATTGCCCTCTAATAGAGCAGGTCGGCACGACGATGCTAACAATGAGCAACTATTGAGAGAGAACTTGGTCCTTGTGGAAGAGGTCAGGGAGATGTCTTGAATGAGAAATATGGCGCATCAAAGTCGTGTGGCAAAATTTTATAATAAGAGAGTTCGAGCTCGCCAGTTTCAGGTCGGCGATCTGGTTCTGCGCAAAGTAGGACTAACCAATGTTTATTTGCCCATGGGCAAGCTCGCTCCTAATTGGGAAGGTCCTTATATAGTTATTTGTGTTAAACGATCTGGGTGTTACTAATTAGCAGATTTACAAGGTCGTCCACTACCATTCATTTGGAACATACATAACCTTAGAAAGTTTTATAGTTAGCACTCCGATGTCATTATTTTAATTTAAATTATCCTCAATCAAATGTAAAGAACAGTGTATAAAACAGCACACAGCAATACACACAGAAATTTTGAAAGAAATTGTGAAGCTGCCCAAACACTAATAAAAAAAAAAAAAAGAAGAAGAAAATGTAACATCTGAGTTCGACATTAAAAACAATTTGGACTTGGCAGTCTCCTTGTACGTAAAGCTCGATATTATGTTCGACAATGCTGGAATAAACAGCTCGGACACAGAACCCTAGGCGCCAAACATTCAAAAATGTTTTCAAGGTCAATGTATTGGGAGTGTTTTTGGGCACCAAACACGTTGCCAGGGTGATTACCGGCCAAGAAAAAGTGCATTTTGTTCACTGGTACTGCGAGTTATGAGTTACTGAACACACTCAAATGGTAACTGAAATATTTTAAGTTTGTATCGTCTTGCATTCCCAAATTCACTTCTTAGTTACAGATATTTTTACTCTAATTGAGGTCATCCATTTCTTGTTATATCAAAATTTTAAGTGTGAAGTATTGAACAAACTCAAATACTACCAAATATTAGAAGCCAGTTTCCCTGTTTTCATCATACCAACATCAGCAACTAGAAATAAGCTCAAGAATCGGCCGGATATTGGAACATTGTAAATGAGGGATTAAAATAGTGTAACCCCCATCTATCAAGAGATTGTGCCCACTTATGTACCTTGCCTCATCACTTGCCAAATAAAGGGCAGCATTTGCAACATCTTCTGCCTTAAGGGTCACACCCTTGAGATTGGCAATCGAGTTCGTCATCTTCTCGACCTCCTCGTGCTTAATTCCAATGAATGAGGTAGACATGGGCGTTGCAACCGCAAAGGGAGATATGCAGTTAACTCTAATTCCAAATTGTCCGAGTTCAACTGCAGCATTTTTTGTGAGTCCCACAACAGCATGCTTTGAAGCAGTATAAGCATGGGTGGCTATTTTACCTATAGTTGAACTTACGCTGGCAGTGGAGATTATGCAGCCCCTTCGAGCAGGCACCATGATTCGAGCGGCGTGCTTGATACCGAGGAAGACTCCAGTTACGTTCACGCTAAGGATGCGCTCGAAATCGGATTTTTCGTTATCGATTATGCGTGGCTTCATCTTGTCCATAATGGCAGCGTTGTTGAACATAATGTCTAGATTGCCATAGGTGGCGACAGCTTTGTCCACAGCGTGCTGGATTTGGGATTCATTGGTGACATCGCAGTGGACGAAGATGGAGTTTGATGGGCCGATTGACTCACAGACAGTGGCCTAATTGTTTCTGGATGTCAGCTACAACAACTTTGGCGCCATGGTGGGCAAAGACTCTGGCAGTGCATGCGCCAATACCGCTGGCACCTCCAGTGATGAGGGTAACCTTCCCCTCTAACCTGTACAATATTGACAAACAATACACCTTTCAGTCTCTCGGCCTGCCATCCCAAATCCATCCAAAAAAAAAAGGAAAAAAAAGAAAAAACCTTTTTGCAACAGCAGAGATAAAGGAAGCCATTGTTACGATTCCAAACGTCAGGAGAGGATTAGGAGAAAAAGAGTTGATGGAGATCCAAGAAGATAAGTTCAATGAGAGATTAATTGGAAGAGGAAAATCAGA